GTTTAGTATTGTACGTTTATGGGTTGAGTATTGCTTATATTTAAAAAAATAATAATATCTCTTTGCTTTTCAGAAATAAGATTAAAATAAAAAAACTTTGAACCTTTTTAAGAATACAAAGATTGACAGTTTTATCATTTAATCCTAATTTAAAAAAAAAAAAAATGATGTTAAACTTATGAGTCCCTACCAAATTGTAAAATAGAAGGTTATGGAATGTGGGAGAACCAAGTACCCTTAAGAGCTTCTCTAATAATATGTGTTGTATAATTTAAATTATACAACTCTTTTTTCTTAACTCATTGTAGTGGAAGAAATTTGATAAAAAAAAAAAAACCAATTACGGTAGAGATGATTGTTGTTAAAAAAATAATATTGTTTGCTATTAGTGATCATCAGCATTTGATTGGTGACAACAATTATATATCTGAGTTGCATTCATTTAATCAAATTTTATTCTTGTTTCATGCAAATTTAGTTGAACAAGATGTGGATTAAAGGTACTTACTAGGTACAAATAAAAGCAGACGTAGACTGCCGTAAACTGGGTTCTCTGCATGAAGTAAACAAAATTAGCCAAAACCTTTTGCCACTAAAAATGAAACCACCATGAAATGGGAAAGCATGTGCACAACTGGAACTCAAATAAAAAGAATTTGTTTCTAAAGTACCATAAGAATATGAAAGAACACAATGGTTTTCCGGATTAATACTGTAGCGATAAGCCCACCAGCCCTTTCCACAGAAAGCATTACTCCAGGACAACTCAAATCCATAGGCTAACCCGTGTTGGATGTCTAGGTAGGAGTGGTCCTCGTAATTCTTCTCCTGTATTGATGGTATAACTGCCACTGACTCAATACGGCATGAAGGTTTTAACTCATGTAAAGTGGTTTCTCCAATTTTCCCATAATAATACCTTTTGCCTTCAGATTCAGCCCTATAAGGTGTGGAGAAAGAGCTGCCGTTGCTGCAGGCAGGAGCTTCCACATAGAGAGGAGCATTTACAGGTTTTTCACAACTTATGAAAAGACTTCTTTCCCAAGGATAAACAAGATATGGATAATGATGATAATGATCTCGAGAAAACTTTAAGAAGTAATAGGCGGCCTGGGAATACTGAGGTATGGAGCAGCTACCTGCCTCAACACTGGCATCAGCTACTCGAATTGTTTGATTGCCATAATTGATTGCTTTCACGTAGAATTTTCCTGATTTAAAATGCAATACTGTAAGGTTGTTCTCACAAGATAAAGTATATACTGGGACTTTAGTCAGTCCACAGGATGGGGGATCTGTGTTTAATCTGAAAGGGTAGCTAATTTTCAGATTATTTCCACAAGAAGAAGGTGGACAGTGATGTTTATGTTCGGCATTGTTGGTCTCATGAATTAAGGCGAAAGGAAGAAGAAGAAGAGCTGCAAAGATGAGAAGAAGAAGAAGAAGAGCTGCAAAGATGAGGCCTGGTCTATGCATGGAGTGGGGCGAAAGGAATCCGCAACTTTCTGGTTTTTTAAACAAAGTCTAGTGGTTTATAAAAGAAATACAATAACTTCTTGGTCTTAAAAATAGCACACATACTCCACCCTCCATCATTCGCAATATCGCCAGAATTTGGACTTGTATTTATTTATTTAAAATGCGGAAAAGCACCATCAATAATTAAATTGAGACTGTTGTACCTGGCCCCAGGCAATGACCTTTCTCGATGGTTTCCTTCTAGATGATGCTTAACTTGCAATTAGACAAAACAATCAATTGTAGAGTTTTGGGTACAAATGGATACCTCAATTTCCACCCCTCGTCCCCACACGTTGCTTGAATTTCCTCTTTTATCCTTAAAATAATAGCATTTTTCCTCAAATACCCTTATTCCCAACATTCTGTCTCTGTCTCCCGTTTCTCCTCTTAACTCTCCAAGAACAGGGACACAAGCCCACGTGAAGATGCCTGAGCAGCGGTACAATGATTTCTATTTGACATCTTCGTCTCTGATTTTCCCTAAACGAAAAGGATGCCAGACCTGCAACCATTTGTCCATCCGTCTGCTACAACAGAGAGAGAGGGTTTGCTTGGCTTTTTGCAATGAAAGTTGGGATTAATTGATTACGATCGGATGGCCATGAGTGACTTTCTCAAAATTTCTTCTCTATAAAATTGGACATTGAGGGGGAGTTATTGGGGAATTTTTGGGTTGAGCCGACCGTGGATGGGGGGAGAAAAAGTGAAAAACCGAGAAAAAAAAAGATTTTATTTTAAGAATATAGATTAAGATTATATTAACTCTAATTTTTATATTAATTTATATTAAAAATAAAATTTAACTTTAAATTCATTAATTACTTAATTAAAATTGTCAATGTAATACTAAT